GGTATGGCTACGGCTCACCTTTGTCTTCACAGTCATACCACTTCATTTTGGTCCTTGTTGTGGATGGTGAGATAGTTTTTATTGAATGTCCTGGAAACATTTCTTTATAATCCTTCTCTTTGATGCTCATTAATCTTAAAGAACTCATAGTAAACAGTTGTTTAGTCATTTAAATTTGACATATAAAACCATTCATGAGGAACACTTCTCTTCCTTTCCCCCCCATTACCAACAAAGATATCATTTTAAATGACCTGACAGAAATACAAATAAAAACACAGATTTTTCTTTTTACATCAGTCTGGAACAGCATTTCATTTCTTCCAACTGCATTTCTCAGTATTTGTTCATTATCTGGTTGTGTTTTTACTAATATATTCACAGCTCCAGGCACTACCAAACCAAACCTGCCTCTCCGGCCTTTATCCACACCAGTCCCAACAACCTCCACAACACCAACCACACTGGGCTCAAGCTCCAGTTCAGGAAGCTCCACAGGTTCATCGGTTTCCCCTGAGAGCAGCGAGCAGCCTGCAGCTGCAGGTGAGACCAGCCTGAGAAGTTTAGCTGCTTCTCTTTACTTATGAAGGCGAGCTTCATATGTAGAGCTGTTAGATTCATATCAGAACTGAATCACAATCTGATTGTTTGTGTTTTCATCATTTACAGCTCAAACCACTTCAAAACCTTCATCAACACCAGTCCCACCAACCTCCACACCACCAACCACACTAGGCTCAGTCTCCAGTTCAAAAAGCTCTGCACCTTCATCAGTTTTCCCTGAGAGCACCGAGCAGCTGGCGGATACAGGTACACTTCATGGAGCTGCGGTTTCAGACATCCAGACCAGTATGAAAACCCTTTTTCTGGAGCTTTCTTTAGGCTAATTTCATTTACTTTGGAAGCAGAGCGTCCTGGGATTAAATTAGTTGCTTCCTCATATCAAGAGGAGCCTGTTGAGGTGGGTCAGTCATGTGATCAGGATGTTTCCTGGACACCTCCTGTTGGAGGCTTCCCAGGCCTGTAAAACTGGTAGCAGACCCTGGGATAGACCCAGAACATGCTGGAGAGATTATATATCTCATCTGACCTGGGATTTTTTAGGGACGAGCTAAAAACTGTTGCCAAGGAGCGGATGCCTGCATTAGTCTGATTAGCCTGCCACTGTGACCTGACTCCAGAGAAGCAGCAGAGAGTGGATGGATGGATCAGACTATCTTATTTGTGTTTTCACTGTTTACAGCTCAGCCCACTTCAAAACCTTTATCCACACCAGTCCCACTAACCTCCACAACACCAACCACATTGGGCTCAAGCTCCAGTTCAGGAAGCTCCACAGGTTCATCGGTTTCCCCTGAGAGCAGCGAGCAGCCTGCAGCTGCAGGTGAGACCAGCGTGAAAAGTTTAGCTGCTTCTCTTTACTTATGAAGGCGAGCTTCATATGTAGAGCTGTTAGATTCATATCAGAACTGAATCACAATCTGATTGTTTGTGTTTTCATCATTTACAGCTCAAACCACTTCAAAACCTTCATCAACACCAGTCCCACCAACCTCCACACCAGCACCAACACAGGGTTTAAGCTCCAGTTTGGGATCATCCACACCTTCATCTGTTTCCCCTGAAGTCACTGCCCAACCGACAGGTACGTCAGCTTTCTGTTGGTCCACCTGCTGATCAGAGTCCCTCTGCCGGCTTCAGATCACGTTGCTGTTTCAGCGTTGTGCCGAAATCTCACATTCATTTTACAATAGCAGTGCATAGAATGTGAGGAAGTACGTGTTTTATTCACCGTACAAAACGTCATGTGGTTTAAATGACACAACAGTTGATTACAACAGAATTTGACTCATTTTTATTTAGTTCCTTGTAACATAGGAATTAATTCCTTTTTTGTACACCTCTTGTCTCTCTCTCTTCCCTCCCAGCCTTCTCCTATGCCCCTTGGCCAGGTTACTTCTTCCCTCTGGTTGCATGTGTGACCCCAGTGGGTGTGTTCCTGTTGGCTGCTTTTCTGTGGCTCCTCTACAAAAGGAAGACAAGGAGCAAACAACAGACTTAGTGAGGTGACTTTCTTTAACTGTGAATGTCTGTTTACTGTTACACAACACTATAAGATGAGAGGAAATCAGAAAACCTGAGATTTCTCAATGTGTTTGTGAACAGAGCAGACTAAAGCTTCCCACTGTCAGTTGGTGACTCTTTTTGTTTTATATACAGATGCAGCCACTCAGTATTGTGCACGCCAGCTGTGAACCTTCCAGGTGCCCCCCTTCCCCTGTTGCCTGAAGGCGTGTCTAGATTCCACAATAAATACATCCATTCATGAGCCATTCCTTGATTTGCCCAGTGTCACCATTAGATGGCGTGTGACTGCCTGAAGGACAATACTCACACTGCAGAGTCCTGGTTTTGTTTAGGCCATGGTTTATACAGTATGTCTGCCCATAATCCTTATGGTACAGGTGCTGCACCACATAAATAATTAACTGTTACACTGGTCAAAGACCTATTAAACATGGTTAACATGCTTGTTACATTATATATTAATAAATAGTAAAGTCTTCTAGAATAAAGTAGATAACTTCTTTGTGAAAATTCATTTGAAATCTGATATATCACTGAGCTGCTGTCAAAACCCTGCAGTTATGTGGACTGTGTAAAACCATACTGTCCATAGAGCTTCTTTAAAACACAAAGGGCAGAACGAGGGTTTAATGGCTGGGTATCACTGCACTGTCTTAATGTACGAATTACTAGTTTATAGCCTACTTGTTCAGTTGCTCTGTCCCTTAAAAAAAAAAAAAAATATATATATATATATATATATATACTGTATATTAGGCAGAAGACAGTCTACTTTGATCTGCTGCCTCTTCCTGGGTGTCTCTGTCCTTCACTTCCTCTTCTTATCACACCATTTGTCTTAATTATCTTCATTCACAGTGGGCCAGTAGAAAAAATGGTTAATGTGTTTAACCATGATGATCAGCATCTATGGATTAGTTCACAATTTTCCAAGTCTGTCCTGAAACAGAAGTCTTGTAACAACTCCAGAAAAGCACTACAAAGTAGCTTTACACAGAATAAGATGATGGATTTTATCCCATCACTTACACAGAAACTACATAGTGACAGTCTGTAAGGCCATTATATGGGACTACAGGGAATAAAAACTCAATTCAGTGAACTTATTATGAGCAAGAACGTGCACAAGCCGGGCTAAAGGTGCCCGAGCAACAGCCCAGAGAGCACTAGAGAACCTGTGTCCAGGACTTCTGAACTTTTAATCTCAATCAGATCCGATCAAATTTGGAAATCCAACATTTATTGATCCAGGATGCAACAAATCAGCCAAATTTTGTCCTGGCATTTCAATTCAGGATAAGATCACCCTGATCCAGATTTAGATGTTTCAAGCTGACCAGATCCTGAATATCACTGTTCTAATCCTACCTTTCTCATGAAGAACAACATATGGAAACAAACAGTATAGCAATTCAGACCCATTTTAAGGATAAAAATATATATTTTCCAAGTACATGACACTTGCTTAAAATCATGATGGAATTGCAGTATAAAAAATAATGAATCCATCCTGCTGATAAACTGAACCATCTATGGATTTTCCTCTAAATGAGACTGGGTGATTGTGCAGTGTGAGATGCTACGGTCCACAGCTACGTTTGGAGGTCGACTCACTTCCATACAGCACAGTTAAACAGTTTGGAAATGGACTGACATCTGGTGATGGAAACCTGCCAAGAAAGAGGAAGACAAGGAATAAAAACAAGTGTAAAAATAAAAAATATTCCTAAAAATTGTCTTTGCAAATTTTTCACAAGGAAGGAAGTCCATCCACCGTGTTTTTCCAGCATCAATAATACAGTGTTGAAATTATAAAGTTAGAAATGTGGCTCTCTCTTTATTTTTTCCAGGCTGAAGACGACCCCAGTAAACTCCCCCCACAGGTGAACTAATGCAGTAGGACATCTCGCCCCACGGCGCCCGGCGCTGCTGCTGTCGACAGTGTTCCTCCGGTAGATATGAGCTCTGATGTCCCAGGCTCTGCCTCTGTAGACCACTGTTACTTCACAGGAGCCATAACTGCACAGAATCCCTGTATGAATGTAACTTTTTTCATGTGACATCCTGTGTTGTCACATCTTTTATGTCATCTCGAGTTTTCTCTGTGTCTTATATGTTGGTTTCTGTGGTTAAATGTGATTATCAGCCTTTGGTATACGCTCCTTATTACAAAATCATGTACTTTTTTGTAATTTTCTTCACTTACCTGCAGACAGCAGTTGTTTTACTCTTAGATGTTTTGCTCATATGAAAGGTTTGTAGTGAAATGCAGGCCACATATGAAGGCTGTCATTACATGGTCTGTGGTAAATAGCATGATATGACACTTCTATTACTGACTATAGTCAAAAAATGATAAACGTATTTCAGTCCAAAGAAATCTATACATAATATCTATTTTACTCCAAAACAAGTTGCTCAGCTCATTGAACCTACGAAGCTACAAGTTCCAACTAGAAGTCTAAAAGCTGTTTTTACAAAGTAATAAAGCTGAAGTTAATAAAAGCATCGGATGCGACGTCAGGTGGTAATAATATGTTAAGATTTATTTACAAGCTGTTTAATGGGTCAGCCATTTTTGTCTGAATCACACAAGTTGCCAACAAGAAGCAAACACACAGGCCTTTTGCCCTGTCATACATCATTTAGCTCACTGGGCATTAGTCAGAAACAAGCAAAAGAAAAAGATATGAAATGCTAAATTTCACAGTAATAATACAATAGCTACTGAGATGGTTAAAAATGAGGAACCAGTAAGATTGAACTGAGTTTATATATTCAGACATCATCAGTGTCAGTAAATGTACGTACTCCTCTGCTGCACCAGGAACGGAAAGGGAACAGCTTCTGGTGTATTATATGGCTCAAACACTGAATACAGAATAAATGATTTAGAAAACAAAGTGAGAAATGTATCAGCTCACTGAAGGACAGGCCAAGGCGGTGTGCAAGTGACATTTCTGTTTAGCAAATTTTAATGATACAGTATAAAATGGTACATTCTCTCTTCTAAAGGGGGAATAATATTATTATATTTGGAGTTTTGACTGAAAATTTTCATCAACTACTAGATGAATTACCATTAAATGTGGCTTGGACAGATTTGTCCCCCTAATAAATGCCTGCATGACCCTGAGGTAAAACATGCCCATAATAACAGATAATACCTAAAACGCCTGCCTGTAGCACACAGCTACCGCACATGTGAATAATGAAGCACCTGTTGCTCTGCACAGTAACAGAGTCAAATGGGCTCATGTGTGCACAGTGGAGTAGGTCTGGTCCTGGTCGCTGCTGGCTGGATCGAGGCTCTGGTAGATGGAGTCTTCACAGGTGGACGCTGGAAGACGGCTGTCATAGCTGACACACTGAAAGTTCAAACAACTCTTAATCTCCTTTGTGTCACTTTGCTTCCTCTCCTGTGGACAGAGCTTAGAGGTCTTTTGAGAATGAGGCATGCAGACCAATCTGTTGAATCCTGTGGTTACAGTATATTCCAGTCTTTTCCACCCTCTAGTGGCCAGAAATTAACTAATGTGCCAGGTTGTGCAGTCGCTGCCAGTGTTTTCTTGCAGCATAAATAAAGAATACCAGTGGCATGAAAATCTGAGACAGAAAAAATAATAAAAGACACTCACCTCCATGTTCTTGTTCTCTGAGTTCCTGTTTGTCTTCCATTTGTGGAGGAACAGCAGAATGACAACACTCAGCACAACAACCACAAGCAGACACACAACCAAGATGATCACTGGGTGAGTGGCACAGGAGGAGAATAAGGAGGAAGGGAGAGAGAAAGGGAGCAGAAGATAAAAGATTTGAAATCCTGGTGAAATGTGATTCTAGATTGTTTTTTTGTTTTTTTTACTGTGCATCACATCACAGGGATAAATAACATTAGGTGAACACAAAACTAAGCATGAAGGTTAGCCAATGTGCTGAATGACATGCCATTCCTGTTACTACCTGTAAAGTGGGTGGTGGCATCAGGTGAGGAAGGTGAGAAACTTCCTGAGGCGGTGCTCAACCTGTGTGCTGCTGCTGGTGTTGGTGTGGAGGCTGGTGGGACAGCTGCTGGTAAAGGTTACAGGGTCCAGTTTGGTTTGGAAGTGGTTAAAGGACAGTTTAATACAACTACAATTAGATACTGTGACAGAGGAATCCTGCGGAGAGAACTGTGATGCTGCTGTAGCTCCAATATGTTCACAAACAGATACAGATTAATTAAGACAAAAAGCAACAACTTTCAAACTCACCCTCAGTAACACTGATCCTGAACGTATGGACTGAAGCCAAATTCAAAGAACTGCCCGAACCACATTTGTACTTCCCTGAGTCAGACTTGGTCAGCTTTTTGACGATTATACGTAGAACAAAAAAATGTAGCTCTCTTTCATATTTGACGCTGTATCTGCCGCTCAGAGTTCGGTCACCAGTTGTTTCAATGAGAAGTTTTTCTTCTTTACATTCCTCCTTACAGAAGAACTTTGTGCTTTGAGAAGAACCAAAGTAACAGTCGACACTGACGTTTCCTCCATCATCTGCCTTATAAATGTTGATTTCTTCAGTGTTTCCATGCTGCAGTGCTGCTGACAGGATGAATAATCATTAGTGTTTCTGCAGTCTGTGACTTAACAACGTTCAGCAGCATTCAGCTGACTCTCAAATGGCACAGTTTGATTCTAATTCAGTGGCATGTGAAAGGAAACGTGCTGCATAATTAATTATTGATCAAAATGCATCAGTAGCCACTCACCATGTAGAACTCTGATCTCAAAGTCTTTGTATGGGTCTGGGCCCAGTGCTGTGCCCAGCCCACACCTGTACCGTCCTGAGTCAGACTTGGTCAGATGTGTGATGTTCAAAATCAGGATTCCTTGCTCAGATGATTTGTATTTACATTCAATGCCGTATCTGCCGCTCTGAGTTCTGTTCTCATCTGTTCTAATGAGGATGTCTTCTTCTTTACATTCATTCCTACAGAAGAACTTGGTGTGTTCGGACGAAGAGAAGGGACAAAATAGTGAGACATTTCCTCCTTCATTTCTCTGAAAAACTGTTAAGGCAGCGCTTTCAACCCACAGTCCTGAAGAGATGAACAGTTAAAACAGGTTAATGGTACAGAGATGATACAGGCAGCCAAAGTTCAACTCTTTAGCAGCTGGTGTACATTTAGCTGCAATAGTAATAGTCATAGCATCTGTGTTTAACAACAAATAAAGTCCATATATCATGATAACAGATGTTTCACTGAACAACGGCTTATTATCATGCTTGGTTCACCCATCTTGTTAAATTTGGTTACACTACTATTAGAGGAAAATATAAAGATGTTGAAGAAGCTACACAAAACATTTCAGTGAACAACAAGATACCTGCTGTAGTTCTGACTTTCATTTACAGCAACGTGTGCTGCAGCATTAAAGAGACAGACAGGTGATCAGACCTCACCTGCAAAGAGGCAGAAGAACCAGACGAGGTGGACGTTCATTCTGAGTTTGACCCTTGTTAAACTGTAGAACTGGCAGTTCACCCCTTCTGCTGTCTGTCTGATCATCCAGGAGGCTGAGGATGCTTTTATGTAACATTTCCTTCATCTCTCTCTCACTGTGCGTGTGTGTGTTAGTGTGCAGTTTTATCTGCACTTGCAACATGATAATGATTGTAATGATAAAGTGTTCTAGGAATTTGTGTAGATTAGTGTTTTCATGATAATGCAGCTCTGAAGCTCATTTGACATCGTGACAACAAAACATGTTGCGAGATACTTTTACATAAATAATACATTTACAAAACTTGTACATAACAAAGAGAGAGTTTGCTGACAGCCTTGTTAACTTGACATTTAAAGTTGAGACAAAGAATAGTTGGATCAGTAAGAAACTTTCTGGGAAAAACAGGCCTGGTTGTCTTTCTGTTAAACATTGCTGTTACTCAAACTCCAGCAAATACTTTAAAATAGCATCAAAAATCAAAGGAGCAGTATTACTGCAAACTGAATAGTCAACTAATTTTGTTCCACACCAATCAATTTGGGGTGTGTGTGTGTGTGTGTGTGTGTGTATGAAAGATGTTATCATCTAAAGGAACTGACCCAGTCGAGCTTCTTCTGAGAACAGGAACTTATAGCCCCATCTCAGTGCTAGTTAGCTTTGGCTAACAACAAACCAATGCTAGCTAGGTGGTTTTTCAGATTTGTGGTAACAGGACAGTGAAACACTAACCACTATTATCTGTTCCATAACAGGCATATTGCACGACAAGTGAAAATGGGTCAAGCTTTAAAAACTCTGCACGGTATGTGCAAAATGTATGATGTTGTGGATGCCAGCATAGCAGATACTGATATATGATAATGTTAAAAGGTCACTTCACACAGAAATTGATGATTTTGTTTTTCTTAAAGGACACAATGTGAAACTTGTAAATCTAATGGTCCTAGGACCTGTAATCATTCTTGCACTGCTTATCAGTCAGCTTTAATACATTTTGAGCAGCTTATCAGTTCAGCTTGCATAGTTTGAGCATCGCAAGCAAAATTTATGTCCAGCACCCATAAATGTGTTGCGAGGAGAAAAGGGAGTGTGGGACCTCACTAAGTGTCAAGGTCTCGCTGTGCTTTTGATGTTACTGATATATGATAATGTTAAAAGGTCACTTCACACAGAAATTGATGATTTTGTTTTTCTTAAAGGACACAATGTGAAACTTGTAAATCTAATGGTCCTAGGACCTGTAATCATTCTTGCACTGCTTATCAGTCAGCTTTAATACATTTTGAGCAGCTTATCAGTTCAGCTTGCATAGTTTGAGCATCGCAAGCAAAATTTATGTCCAGCACCCATAAATGTGTTGCGAGGAGAAAAGGGAGTGTGGGACCTCACTAAGTGTCAAGGTCTCGCTGTGCTTTTGATGTTGCAAAGGCAGCTGGAGAAGGTATGCGAGTTGTTAGATGTGAGATAATGGTATGGGTTTCATGGATGTGTATTGTATCACTTTGGTATAAAGGGACTGCCCCTTTACCAGTTACTCAGAGAACTCAGTGCATCTGAAAAGCTGTGTATGATTTCTTTCCATGCTGCATGAAATAAAGAATCCATTGAAGTTACTCTCCGGTCTCCAGACATCTTTATTGGGTCCTGCCCCGTTCCCACTACCACAGTTTACACGTATGTGCAAATAAAAGCGGTCTCTCTTTTCCTCTCATTCCTTTCCTGTTTTTGATTGCACACATTTCCTACTTGAATACACACACCGTTTATTCTCATGTTATTGCTATATTCTTATTTTTATTCTCATTGTTATTTTCTACTCCTGCTGCCTTACAACACATTGAGAGCCTCTGTGAAGGCCTCAGTCCTGGCCTTCACCATGTGAGGACCTAACCCCCCCCCAGCCATAGACTTGGGTGGGTAATTCATATTAGACATGCACAATTGATCAATGAGCATGCACGTTTGATTAATTTTGTATTGTTAATGTTTACCTTTTCTTTTGAGTTACCATGTTTCCTGGTCCATGG